ATTTGTGCAAGAATCTTCATTCGTGCATCGGGTCATTAGTTTTATCATATCACTTCATACTTTTTAAAGTTTTTAGTGATTTTTTTCATCAAGACTTCAACTGACCTTTCAGTCTTTTATTTTCCTCTTTCTTGGATGCCATGTTCTTTGGAAGCTTGTTTAGACCTATAATAGTTAGTGCCTTTTAGGTTTCCTCCACATGAATAGCAGTTCATTTTTTGAATAATAAGAATTATATGTCAGGGCAAAGGGATATCAGGATTTTAGAGATGCTTAGGTGGGGCATGGCCAAAAAAAAAAAAAGGTTGGAAGCACTGGTCTAAATCATTAGCAATCATAACTCAGAATGCAGATACTACCTAATATAAAAATCTCCTCCAATTATTTAATGCCACCTGATACACTTCTTGCTCAAAACATCATGCACCTGAGGTACAATGATAAAATGAAGCTGGAACTTGTTAAATATGTTGTCACAATATTGTGGGGTTTTTTGTTTGTTTGTTTGTTTTTGTTGTTCTTTTTTTTTTTTTATTGGTGATCACTGAAATTTCCTAAATTTGGCAACATTTAAGTTCTATCCTACTTCCTGCATGAAAAACAAGGCCTGAAAGCCATCTCCAAAAGATCATTAGGACAAAGGAGGAGTTTCAGGTCCTATTTTCCCAAGGCAGTTTAAGACAATAATTAGAGTTTTCACTATGGGAAGAAGGGAGGTAAAATAGTCAGGGCCAAATGCAGGTCAATAGATACACACAGAAAGGAAGGACATGGTATGGAGATATAGATATGCATGGCCAATCTAAACACTGTTTTTAAAAATCTGACATCCTTTCTTTTATTGGCTTCTTTTTTTAAAAAAAAATGTATATATATTTATTGTTGTATTACATATGCACACTTTTCCATATTGATATCTTCTAGCCTATCCCTGCCCACTGTGTCCGCCCCCACTTCCCCACAACCCAGGCCTTCACATCATCCTATTGTATTTGTCCATGGGTTATGCATATTTGCATAAAAGTTTTTGGGTGCTCTCTTCCCACTGACCCACCCACTCCCACATTCCCTCTGAGATTTGGCATTCTGTTCCATGCTTCTATGTCTTTTAATCTATTGTGTTCATCAATTTATGTTGTTCATTAGATTCCACATATGAGCGAGATTTATCTTTCTCTGACTGGCTTATTTTGCTTAACATAATATTCTCCAGGTTGCTCCATACTGTCTCAAAGGGTAAAAAGATCCTTCTTTTTTGCTGCTGCATAGTATTCCATGGTATAAATGTATCACAGATTATTTATCCACTAATCTGTTGATGGGCTCTTGGGCTGTTCCAGATCTTAGCTATTGTAAATATTGCTGCTATGAACACATGGTGTGCATACATTCTTTCTGATTGGTGCGTTGGGTTTCTTAGGAATAACTGAATCTGAAAGAATCAATCATAAAACCTGAATAGGCCAATAATTACTTAGTAAATTAAGCAGTAATCAAAAAACTCCCAGCAAACAAAAGTCCTTGCCCAGATGGCTTTATAAGACAGTTATACCAAACAAAGAACTAACACCTATCCTCCTCAAACTATTCCAAAAAAAATCCAAGAGAAAGGAACACTTCCAAGCTATTTTTATGAGGCTAGCATTATCCTAATTCCAAAACCAAATAAAGACACTACAAAAAAGAGAACTACAGGCCAATATCCCTGACAAAGATAAATGCCAAAATCCTCAACAAAATAGTAGCAAATGGGATCCAGCAACATATTAAAAAGATCATACACCATTACCAAGTGGGACCTTTTTTAACGTTTAAAAATTATGCTTTTAATGTTTTCTGCTTTAATTAATTGGAAATGGGAAGGCTTAAAATTATACTTTGAGATATTCATTTTACCAGCAAGTTAAATAATTCCATTTAGAACAAGCATGGTTAACTTATAGTATAATGACATACTTAGTATTTCAGCCAGCACAAAAATGATTAGGTGAATATACAATAGTTCTAAGAAAGGTGAATATACAATAATTCTAAGGAAGACCCATTTCTTCAGACAAAAAAGACCAACTGAACATTGTCTAAAATGGTCTGAAAGGGGAGAGATAATTCTGTCAATAATGAATTACAAAACTATTGACTATTTCCTCTCTTACTAGTATGTTTGTATGAGCTGAAACTTTGGATAACCACTATTTAGGATTCCATTTTCACTTCTATTATCATTAATTAGTGAACATTAACTCCATTAAAAATAATGGCCATGTAAAAAGAGCTCAGAAAGTGAAATGGGAAAAGCTTGATATTAGCTTCAACTATGCATCTTTTCTAGAAAGTTTTATACCTTATATTTATTTCATCGTATAAAACTACAGAGTAAAAATAAATTCAGGCAATGATTTGTCAAATATTTTCTATCCTTAAATAAACCTTTGAGTCACAATGCAACCAAAGATAAGAAACAAAAAGGCAGAATTTATATATATATATATATATATATATATATATATATATATATTTATAAAATGTATTATAAATATATTTTGATGAGAACAGAAGACATTTTCCTAAGAAACTGTGCTAAATTATAAAACATATGTTATGTTAAACATTCATATAATTTTTCAATAAATGGATTGTATTTCGACTATACAACATTTCTTCATCTTAAAGCTATGACTACTATATTCTATTAGGGTCACTAATTAGCTTAATTTCTGAAAATTAAATTTGTCAACTTCAATGAAACTTAAATCTTAAAAGTAACTCTCATTTTGCTTCCAAGTTCTGAGAAAGTATAGGTTTAATTCTTCTAACCCACTTGCATGTGAATCATATGAATTAAGTCCATTTCATAGACCTTACTCAGGCATCATGATTCAGTTTCTTAAATTATTTCAAGAAATAGATGCTTATAAGCAATTATAAGAAATAATGCTTATAACCATTAATGACATTATATAATAACAATGTCATTAATGGTTAGCTATTTCCTCATTGTTCTCCTAGAAACAAATATAAAATTCTAAATAAAATAAAAATTTAAAAGTCATTTCAGGAAACAAATTTTAAAATAATACTAACTTCACATGTCTAGAATAGAACTTTCAGCTGGTGAAATTACCATGTCAACACATTCATTACAAAAATGCCTATATTCAATCTTATAGACATTATATAGTATTAAAATGACTCACCAGATACTGCGCTACTTCATGAAAAACACTGCATTGACATCAGATTTAAAAAAAAAAAAAAAAAAAACATATTTCCTTTTAGCATTTCTCCCTTTATGTCCTTTTGACACAGAGTCCTTTTTATTCATATGTACTTCTAATTTGAAATCCTGATATTGATTTGCACTATCCAATTTTCCTTAATATTTCAAGTGCCAAAAAGACAACATGACCCTTTGATAAGAATTAAGCACCTACACTATTCTGAATCCCCTTCAAAATTTGTCACAAAATTTTACCAACAAGATAAAAGAGAAATACAAACAATAGAATACAGATTTTCACTAATTAATTTTTGAAAATGCACCAGTAGAACTTACAAAAACATGTAAGACTAAATCAAAGTCATGCTATCTTATTTTACTGTACTATAATTTCCTACTTAGCCAAAAATTCCTCACAAACAACATATTCTATCAGTTGGCTAGATGACAACATGAGAAACTCTGTTCAACCCAAGATGTCTAAAAAAATTAGGTTGATTTTAACCACATTATCATTTAAAGAAGGCAATTAAATTAGCCAGAAAAACGATACTGAAAAAGCAGCCTTGGGAATAACTTTTTTCTTGAAGCCATTACCAAATCCCTATTGGACTGATTAATTATGCTAGAAAGGAAGCATAAAGCTGGAGAAAGGGCACCATCACTACTTGTCTTATCTAAGAACTCATAAAAGTACAAGGCTCCAACCACCTTATTTTATTAGATTCTCTAATGTGTAAATGCTGCTACTTTTCTGCAGTTTGCTTACTATTACTAACCATTTCATATCTTTCTTTTTGCTTCAACGTAAAAAGTCTTAATTCCAGCTTAAATTTTTTTTCAAATTATTCATTCAGAAGATGTCCCTTTGCCTGCAAAACACCATTATCGCCAATAAAAGCATGCACAAAAGAATTCCAGGAGAAAATTAGAATGCACAAATTTCTGTAACACAACCAGCCCTTGGTGACCATCCATCTCACCAGACACTGCTCAACCTTCTAAACATTTATTGAATGGTCATGGGCCCATTCCTGAGGGTTCTATAGTTTCTCAAAAAATGGCGCATGACAGTCACTTGTTTCTTTTTTTGAAACTATGAACCTAGAGTCTTAAATATATTGCAAATATCATTCCACTGCGTTTTATAAAGTTGATCCGTTTCAGCCCTGCCATTCTAAAACTGAATAACTAATCAGCCACAAATGAACACGCATATGCAGCAATAGGCACATAGGTATTACAAAATCATTTTATAATGACATTCATTATATAAGTATAACCTATACTTTATAATGTAACATAAGAATTCAGGTTCTTAGAGGAAAAATGCATGCCAAAACTCTCTATCCCTATAAAAATGATACTCCAAATGCACATGAAAACTTTTCACATTAATACACTGGAGCACTTTCTGGGCATTTCAATAAACATGGCGCAGAATTTCACCTTTATTGGGGGTCCAGATTTTGTGTTTTTCATTCTTACTACGTTTTTATGTGCTCACACATATAACATTCATGATCTGCCTTTACATCCAGGAATTCTAAAATTTCTTTATCGCGTTCATCAGCTTTCAGGAATCCGTACTCAACTCCCTGGGTTAACTCTATACCATATCCACTTCCTAGGTCAACAGAGTTCCTCCACACCATTTAGACCATGAGAAGAAACACAAGATTTCCTCTAACTTATTATTCTATAACTTCAGTGGGTCTCCCACCGCCTCCCACCCACCCACCTCCCACCCTCCATCCCATTCCCCCCCCTGCGGGCGCCTTACCCTAGCGTGGTCATGGTGACGATGGTGTACCAGAAGGCCGCCGGGATGCTGGTGAACTTGGTGGCGGAGGAGCCCTTCTCGGCGTAGAACATGACGGTGGCGAAGATGATGATGGCCATGGTGAGCGAGAAGAGCAGGAAGCCCAGCTCGGAGGCGCAGCTCTTGAGCGTGTAGCCCAGGATGCGCAGGCCCTGCGAGTGGCGGGAGAACTTGAAGATGCGGAACACGCGGAAGACGCGCAGGGTCACGAAGGCGCCGCTCACGTCCTCGTTGTCGGTCATCACCAGCCCGATGTAGTAGGGCAGGATGGCCACCACGTCGATGATGCTCATGACGCTGCGCACGAAGCGGTAGCGGCTGGGCGCGGCGGCCAGGCGCAGCAGGTACTCCACCGTGAAGATCATCACGCAGGCCGTGTCCAGGCAGAAGAAGGCCACGGCGTAGCGCTCCCCGCACGGCAGCTCCCGCACCTGGCCCGGGCTGGCCCCGCACGGCACCGTCTCCACCACGTTGGCGATCACCGACACGGCGATGAAGAAGCCCGTCACGTAGTAGAAGACCAGGGCCAGCGTGCTGGTGTGCGGGTTCTCGAAGGCCCGCCACACCTTCTGGCGCGCCGTCATGCTGGGCAGCGCGCTCTCGCCGCCCGCGCCGTCCGAGTCGGCGTCGTCCTGCAGGCGCTCGGCGTTCTCCCGCCGCCGGTCCTTGTACTCCTCGTAGCAGCAGTCGCCGATGATCTCGGGGATGAGGCCGAAGAAGGCCAGCTCCTCGTCGTAGGCCGAGATGCACTCGTGCCGCGGGTAGTGCAGCTTGCCCGTGCGGTAGAAGTTGAGGATGTGGCGGAAGATGTCGGGGTCGCGGTCGAAGAAGTACTGCTGGCTCTCTGGGTGGTAGAAGAAGTCCCGCTCCGAGCTGCCCAGCAGCGTGTCCGGGTAGCGCTCCAGGGTGTCCTGCCACGTCTGGAAGCGGGTGCCGCTCACGTTCAGCACGATGAGGGCGTCCTGGGTCCTTTTCCTCTCCTGCCGCGGCGGCGCGGGCATGGGGCCCGAGGCCACGGGCATCCACCCGATGGCCGCCGCCCGGGCGAAGGGCAGCCACGCGGCGACGCCCGCGGCCATGGTGCCTGCTGGACGTGGAGGCGAAGAGGGCGATGGGGCCTGGAGGGCCAAGGAGGGCGCTGGGGCCTGGAGGGCGGGTCAATAGGGCCTGGAGGGCGGGTCAAGGTGGCCCCAACCACTCACCCACTCGCTCCTGTCCTGTGTGAGTAAATGCTCCAGAGACAGGTGGCCCAGATGTGTCACTCCTGTTCCCAAGCAGGGCTCCTGGCTCCTGGATCCAAGTCCCAGTGTCCAGGAGAGCAGGTTTCCCTCCAAGAGACAGCTATCTGGAAAGCACAGCAGCGCCCGAGCAATCACGCCCAAACCTGCCCCGGAAATGTGACCAGGCCACTCCTGGCACCAACCTGCACACAGTGTCTTCAAACAGGTGTCCCGGCTTTCTCCTCGGATAACCTGGGACGAGTGTGCCTCAGGGTAGAGAAAACCCAAGGACAGTCGCTCAGTGGTGTTTTTTGGACGAGAATCCAGGAACGCTCATCACCTTCCCTTTGGCTCCTTCAAACCTTCCTAATTCCAGTGGCCCTTCCCGCCATAGGAGTCCCAAAAAGGCGACCTGTTGTAGCTTCCGGGGAGCGATCAGCAGCCGCTGCCCCGCGTGCCCATGTCCGGGGGAGTCCGCGGCCGCGGCTGCCCCCCGGGCTGTGTAACGGACCGGAGCGCGGCGGGGCGGGCGCGGGGATCCTCTCCCCCCTCGTCTGCAAGCGTCCGTCGTGTGTCTGCCCGCAACGTCCGTCCGATCGCCCCTTCACTCTCTCTTCAAGTTCAGCTCAGGTGCCTGCGGGGTGACAGTCACGGAGCCCGGGAGCTGGCCGCTGCCACCGCCTGGGCGGCAGCAGCATGTGTCTGCGCCCGGAACGCGCCTCGCCTGCGGTACGCGCCTGGCCGGGCGTGCACCGGGCTGAGTTGCATAGAGACTTTCTCCTCCCGTGCACCCGGGGGGGGGGGGGGCGGGGGGGGGAGAAGGAAGCAGGGGGAGCCGCTCGCCCACCTCCGAATCCGAACCCGGGCGCCCCGGGAGCATCCACGAAGCTCACGCGCGCTCCGCGTCCCCTTCCCCCATCCTTCCGAGCCGCCCTCCTCCTCGTCACCTTCCAAAGCCGGACGGATGCAGGCCGGGCAGCGCGGCAGCAACAAGTTCAAAAGGTGCGCCGGGGGGAGGCGAGCGGATCGGGAGGACCCGCTCCTGCCAACTTACTGCGCCGGGGCCGCCGGGGCCGGGGCGGCGCGGGGCGGGGCGGGGCGCCGGGGCTGCGGGGCGGCCGGGGCGCTGCCGCGGGGCCGGGGCCGGGGCCGGCGCGGGCGGTCGCCGGGGCGCGGGGGCTGCAGGCGCTCGGCGGCGGCGGCGCGGGCGCGCGGGAGGGCGGCTGGCTGCTTCCCCGCCAGTGGGTGGCCCAGCATGTCCCCGGGCTCCCCGCGCCGCTCCGCTCGTGCGATCAATAAGGAGGGAGAAAATAAATAAATAAGCGGCCACGCAGGTTATGCTGGGCGTCCGGCCGCCGCCTTCCCCGGGGCTTGACCTTTCCCCGCCGCCCCCGCCCCCTCGGGCTCCGATCGCTCCTCCCCGGCCCCCCACCGGCCTGGCGCCGAATGTCACCTAGGAGGGCATCCAGGTGGGTCTGCGCGGGGGAGGCGAGCGCGGCGAACAAAGGGAGCTGCCCGCGCCGGGCTGCGGTGGCTGGCGGCGGAGAGGAGGCAGGGGACCGCTGCCCGGTGCCCGGTGCCCGGTGCCTGGTGCCCGGTGCCTGGCTTCTGCCGCCCTGGGTCCGGGATCCAGGCGAGCGTGGGAAATGGAGAGAGAGAGGGAGAGAGCGAGCGGAGCTGGGAAGGCGGTGAGCGGAGCGGAACGCGCAGGAATTGGTTGTCTTCTGGGGGCTGCTGGCGGGGGTGAGGGTGGGGGGTGGGATTGGGGTGGGGGGGGAGCAAGCCCTGCAAGCCCCGCGGCAGAATTTGTAAGAGCTTTCTCTCTCTCTCTCTTCCTCTTTCTTTTTATTTGTTCCAGCCAGACGTTCCCGATGCAGAGGTTCCTACGTCATCCATCCAACTTGTCGAAAAGTCTGGCAGCGTCCTCAGCCCAGGTCTCACCACAACTCCTTTTCTTTCCCGTCCTTTGCGGATGACCGGGAGGGATTCAGACCCCTTTTTCCTTTTCTAGATGCCCGCGTCCAGGGGCGGGCGCCGCGGTGGGTGCGCGCCCCCTTCCTTCCCGCTGCGCATCGCCGTGCACAGCCAAACGGTTGAAGTGGTTAGCGGCGTCCTTGCGAGGAGTCGGTGGTGTGATGCCGAGATTAGGAAATTGTCGCGGCCAACCGTTTTGTTTCTCGTGCACCCCGCCCCCGCCACCCCCCCACCCCCCCTCAGTCCTTAGGAATCGTCCTTAACACCAAACAGACACCAGATGGAACCACTAGATGGCGTGCGGGGAGGGAAGTTAAATCTATCCCTTAGGTTTGGATGCTTCAGAAAGGTGAAGGATCAACATGAAGCGAGCCTGCAGGGAATCACCTCACATCAATACCCTCAAGTCCCCCACTCCCCTCCCAGTTTTTTTAAGCAATGAGATACATTACTCAGGCTCGAGTCTGCATTTTGATGAAAAGGGAATGAGATGTGAAGAGTTTCTTGTGAAAATGGCCTTTGAAAATTAAATGTAGAGATGACTGAATAATAATAATTATTATTCTTATAATAACGGCCTTTGGAAATTTTGATTAGGAAGAGATGTCTGATTTCTACCTGAAAATTACCTCTTCAAGACTTGTTGACTGTACTTGGTTGATAAATTAAGTGGACTGTGAAGTATCATCTTGAATTGAATGGACTTTCAAGCCCTGGAGATAATGGTTGCAGAATCCAGCAGATGATGACGATTATGTGTACAGAAACCGGCAGAACATTCTATATGCTTCCCTTGCCCAGGGATTCCTCTCCTTCTTTCTGGAGTTCTCATTGTACACTCTGCTTGGCTGATGGGAAATAAACTCAGCAAGTTCAAAATTGAATTCAAGAACCCCTCTTCTCCAGTTGTCTGCTATTTTCTCTCCTAATAAATAAGCCCAAAGAAGAAACTTGGTGGTCAGCATAGAGCATGTCCTGTCCTCTACTGCTTCCCCTACCAAGCACATATCTCCCCCCCAAATAAGTCTGAATATTTCGCCTTCCTTACCAATCTATCTTCATACTGTACCCAGAGTGATTTTTTTAAACTATTTTGAGATAATTATAGATTCACATACACTTGTGAGAAAGAATAGAGATCTTTTATACCTATCTCCTAGTTTCCCTCAAAGGTAACATCTTGCACGTTCCAGTGCAATAATGCAACCAGGAAATCAACGTTCACACAATCTACCAACCTTATTCAGATTTCACTACGTACACTAAATGTTATGTATTATACTTAATTCTGTCTAATTTTTAAAAACATTTTTATTGATTTCAGAGAGGAGACAGAAACATCAATGATGAGAGAGAATCATTAATCGGCTGCCTCCTGCATGCCTCCTACTGGGGATGGAGCCCGCAGCCCGGGCATGTGCCTTGACCAGGAATTGAACTGTGACCTCTGGTTCATAGGTTGGTGCTCAGCCACTGAGTCATGCCAGCTGGACTAATTCTGTCTAATTTTATCACACATGTAGATATACCATTTTATATCCCACCAGTCAACAAAAGTTATCTGGTTTCTCAGCATCCTCATCAACATTTGGCATCACTAGTTTTCATGTTAGCCATTCTGATAATGTATAGTGGCATCTCACTGTGATTTTAATGTTCGTTTCTCTAATAGCTAATTTTGCTGAACACATTTAAATGTTCATTTTTTCCATCTGTATATTCTTCAGCAAAATGTCTGTTCCTGTCTTTTGCCCACTTTTCAATTAGATTGTTTATTTTTTTACTTTTGATAGCTGTTTCTATAGTCTAAATAATTGACCTTTGCAAATAATTTTCCTGGTCTTTCCTTCTTCTTCACAAGATTATTATTTTTTTTTTTTGCAAAGCAATAGTTCTTAATTCTAATGAATTGTTCCCCTCTATGGATCATGCTGTTGGTATCAAGTCTAACAATTCTGCCTTTTTCTCTAATTTTTTTTTCTAAAGATTTAAGTTTATGGTTTATGATCAGTTTGGGGTTAATGTTCATATATGGTGCTGAGATTTAGGTTAAGGCCACTCCTCTCTCCCCCTCCTTTTTTTTTTCTTTTTTTTTTTTTTTCTATAGCTGTCCAATTCCTTCAGCAGCATTTGTTGAAAAGTCTATTTTTCCCTACATTGAATTGCTTTTGTACCCTTGTCAAAAATCAGTAGGGTATATTTTTGTGATCTATTTTTAGGTTCTCTATTTTGTTCCATTTATGTGTGTCTCTGCCCTCACAAAAAGGACACTCTCTTGAGAGTAGCTGTAAAGTAACTCTTAACATGAAGTAAAATTATTCCTTACACTCTATTATTCTTTTTTCAGAATTGACTTAGCTATTCTAGGTCCTTACCTTTCTATATGAATTCTAGAATAAACTTGTCTATGTGTACAAAGTGCCTTGCTGGGATTTTAAACAGCATTGCATTAAAATTTGGGGGTGCTGAGGTTTTCGTAGACATTTCATTATATCTATAAGTCAATGTGGGGGGATGAACATTACTCTGTTAAGTCTTTTGACCTATGAGCACAGTATATCCTTCCATTTATTTATTTCTTTTTTATATTTATGTCATCAGGATTTTGAAAATTTCAGGATACAGATCCCATACATGTTTTATTAGATTTATACTAAGTATTTTAATTTATTTGGAGGTATTGTGAAAAGTAATGTGAGATTTTTAATTCTGTTTTTTTATACATCATGTTTAATAAATAGAAATGCAATTGATTTTTTGTATTGATCTTGAACCTGCTATTTTGGGGAGTTTCCTTATTAATTCTTGCGTTTTCTATATAGACAATTATGTCACCTGAAGATAGGGTCAGTTTTATTTTTTTGCAGCCTGTATTATGCCTTTTA